AAAAAAAAAAAAAAAAAAAAAAAAAAAAAAAAAGACCAAAGCGCCTAGATTTGAGCTGTTTTTCTCAAATGATGGTTTCTTGAAAAAACATTTTTTTTTTGATTCAAGTGTCATCAGTCTTCGAAATAAAAGGTATAAAAACTTCACTTAATTTTAAAATACAGCTTTATCCCTTTTTAACAGCAGTTCATTGATTTTGACTTTTTTCGCTATACAGTTCAAATAAATCAAGGTTTGTAAAGTATTCAACTGTTGAATAATATTATCGCACAAATATTTTAACCTAATAATTTATTCAAATTGCAGCATTTCTGTCAGAAAAAATAAAAGTTTCTTGAAAAGTATCACTATTTTTTAGAATATTTACTAAGTGAATTGTGCAGCGCCAAAGCGATGGAATAATAAAGAAAAAATTGACTTTATTATTTTAGATTTTTAAGAGCATAAAACAAGTCAATAGGAACTAACTCGTTTTCTTTAGTACACATAATTTCCTCAGCATGAGTGGAAGCGCTGGTAGTCTTTGCTGTTGTATTTCGGGGCAGTTATTTGTCCTGTCCGAATATTCACGAAAGACTCTAAATCACTAATGACACAACTTTCTCGATAAAATCCATTTGCTGTGATGCTTTATTTATTCTGCAACTAACCTGCATATTGCTGAATGCGTCACTGTTTGAAATAATGTTGGCAGAAGGCTATCTTCAAAACTGATGTCACTGTCAACGAGTTGGTTTTCGATTTCTTTGGACACCAAGTCAATACATTCCCAAGGGTCAAAAGTTAATCCACTGTCGATGGTCGGAGAAAATTTTATTCCAGCATTGTAATGAACACGTGAGGATACAGCATAGTCAATGACGAATACTGAAAACTGGAGCAGTGTTAGGGCAGCGAAACCGTCTAATATCACTTTTTCGGGCGGAGACTTGGCAGACTAGCATGCGGTTCACGACTAGCATACGTGCGATCCCACGAATGAAGCACTACCAGTTGAGGGATACAAATTATAAAGTATAAAAAAGACGGTAAGACTTTACGTTTATGAAACCGGAAAAGAAAATTGACTGCAATTTACTTTAATCCGAATTTAAATTTTTGAGTATAAACTGCCCTCTATTGTCATTTAAAAGTTTATTTGGAGAAGAGAGAAAAAAGTTAGGAAACAGAGATGTTAAGACGCTAACTACCTTTCAGAAGAGCCAGCTTTTCCTGGCCATCTTTTTAGCAGTGTACAAAGTCCTAACTGGCTTACTGGGTGACCAAAAAAGTCATTAATGATGGCTTTTAGAAGTAAACATTTATGCCTAAAGGTTCCAAAAGATTTTTGAGTTTATTTCTTGCCAACGGCTTTTTGCCACTTTTTAGAAGGCATATTATATGAATGCAGCAAAGTATAAACATTTATACCAGGAGAAAAGCTTACAAGAGAACATGAATTAGTTTACAGAGTGACAGAGATAAATGTCGTTCAGCTGTAAGAAGTTACACCACTTAATAAACCGTTTACCGTTGGTTAGCAGTTTCTGCAGAATGCAGTGAAAATCGAAATGGTACATTGCTGATAAGTTAGGAAAAAGATGTCATCTAGGCAGGTGGTTCTTTGTGCAACGTAACTTGCTTAATGCCTTTCTAAACATCGCATGATGCATTAAAGTGATTGGACATAAATTCTATACACTGCTTCTTTTTTGTACTTACCTTCCTTTAAATTTACGAGTTGCAGAAATTTGCAGAAATTCCAGAGGTTTAAATTTAAGTGTGTGTTGCTCACTCTAAGCACCTCATAGTACTACTGGTGTCAATTCTTCTGGACAGAGTGTCTTTTAAACAGGCAATATCGGTATAAGTTCATGAGTGCCTCTTTAATTTCTGCTCTTGACCCATTCAGCGAAGCTCTAGTGTCAGCACTAGTTAAATGCTGGAGGGAACAAATGTGCGAAGAAGAGGTGTCAAATAACAAAAAACTTATTTTAAAAAAGTTTTATTATAAATTTCTTGGAAAAAGTATTTCCCTAAGCTATAATTTTAGTATAAAATATTAAATTAGCAAGGAGGTATTTTTATAGAATCTCAAAATACAGTGAAATTGGTGAGGCTAAGATGCGAAAATGATTTGATGCAGCGTTTTTTTTTTTTGTGTTTCTGCAAGCGAAAACACTCTAATTTTAACCGAAATACTGTTTTGCTGAAAACTCTTTTAGTCCGGCTAATTCAGAAGTACGAACTGAGATAAAGATTTCCTACTGCTAAATTATTTTCTTGTCTCAAAAAAAAATTTTTTTTTTTTGAATTATGGTATTAAATTATACGGAAATTATGCGTTCAGAAATAAATGTTTCAAATAAGTTTGAATATGGGTTTTTTAAAAAAGTTTTTAATTTTTTTTGTAATCTGTTCGTTTGCGTTAAATGCCAACATACGTATTTAACCAACGTATTTTACTATTTTCTCGAGAAGGCAGGTTTTCAAATGAGGAAGAGATATTGAAAATTTGTCGCTAGTGAATAAAATCACAAATTCCTAAAGATGACCGTGTTTAACAAAGACTGTGTTTCGTTAGAACTGTTTAATTTTGCCGCCAGCGTAAAACCGACCTCAAGGTTCACCCAACACTGAAGGTTATCGAAACCGTGGTTTTATGAAGATGCATGACAGTTGCAATCACGTTCAAGCGCTAGCTTTCTAGAAAGTCAGGAAAAAACTGAATGGACAAATCTAAAATTGTAACATATGAAAAGTGCGCTGAAAAGAAGCCGACACAAAAAAGATAGAGCCAGATAAAGGTAGAAAAAAACTCAAATCTGGTGTTTTTACCGCCGATTAATCGCGATAACGTCCCCTATTTGAGCATAACTGTTAAGTGACGGGTGTCGCTGAAAGCGACAGTGAGATGAACAGGTTTTTTAAATTTCTTGCAGAGGGACAGCTGTTAGTGCAATTTATCCCCTGCATAAGCAGTTAGACTCAGGACCGAAAAATTGGGAAAACAAGGATCTTAATAATGGCAAAAATTTTCTGTTAAAGAAGGACTACCATCTGTAAAAAAGCTCAAGGAGAACAGTGGGGCAAAAGAAGGACATTAGCAGTAGGCAAGGAAGAAGCTTATATTAACACCAGAAGTTTAAAATTGTGTTCATATCATACCACTTTTTTAGAGATATTATTAGTTGAATTGTTAATGCGCCTAACGTTTTATGTTAGTATCATAGGTTGTATCAAGTTATTACTGTAGCTGTATGTTGTGCGTAAGGTTTAACTACTTAAGTGTAATATGAAAGGTAGATAAGTACTACGAACTACGGACTGTCCAAACCCGCGCCACAGATAAATCAGTGAAAGCAATTCAGTAAGAATACTATCTTACAGAAGAATGCAGTTTTAGTTCAAGACGCAATCTTTTTAGTAAAAAAGCCATCTAAGTACGAAGCTTAAATTCACGTAGAAAGCTTTTTGGAATATTAAAGGCTGCTAAAGGCCAAAACATTTGTTATCCTTTTTTTAATCTTCTTTAGGCGTAGGCAGAACAATTTCGAAACCGTCAAGGATAAGTTTGACAAATAAAAAAGCTCAAAGGGTGGCTGGAAGTAAGCTATTACTTCTAAAACAGATGCAGAACCCTGTTGCAGGAGTAAAAGTAGAAAGATGGTGCTTGAGAGGGCGGGAAGGGGGGTGGGGTTATGAAGCGGATTTATGCAGAGCTGGCAGCTGCACGTGCGATCATTTTGGTTACATAAGGGTGCCACTGTTTTTGCCTAGAACGGGGTAAATCACGAAACTGCTACTTCCGGGGTGTATGAAGAATGTTTTTATTCCGGTGCTTCTCACAATTTAAACAACTTTAAGGAAGAGTTCTGTGTTTAAGAGTGAGCGGCTCCATACGAAGTGTGTTGAGGAAGGATTGTCTGGTTTGTCGAAAATGATACGGTAAGCCATTTACATTGCCACCAATACGAAACTTACCGAACAAAGAGTTTACTGGATGCAGTACGTTTCATTATATTGGATTGGACTTTGTAAGGCCAATTAAAGTGAAGTTTAGTGACGAGTTCTTAAAATATGATTCTGTGTTTTCATCTGTGTGGTCTTTAGGGCAGTTCACTTGGAAGTCGTCAATAGCCAACTCACGAGGGGCTTCTTGTATGTATTCGATAATTTTGTGACTGGAAGAGACAAGCTTCAGTTTTTATTGTTAGACAACGGACCAAACTGTGGTTGCTGCTGGAATTACCTCGTAGGCGGAGCTGCGTAGTCCCTAACAACCCACGAAAGCGGAGTATGCGAAAGAGTAATCAGTCCTTTCAAGTATGCGCTGTATAAAATGTGGAGAAAAGGCTTTTCAAGAAAGCTGAGGTTGAAACTTCAGTATTACGGATAAAAGGAGTCTTTAGCTCTGGGCTAATGATTCAAAATTTGGGCGAAAGTGTTGAAGTACCGCATCTTGCAAATTTCCTATGCCCAAAAATTTGGGTTAGTTACGACAAAAGCAACGAATTACAGAGTAGGAAGTTGGGTTATAAAGCTAAAGCAGTGGCCAAAGAATCGAAAAAAACTTGTAAATATTGAAGGCTATTTAACAGGATTTTTGAAGGTTTGAGGGAAGGGCTCCTTAGAGGTATTGTTGAGAAGTGCTAGCCAGTGAAGTAAGCACAGTACAAGTGGCGCTCAAAGAGTTTTGCTAGTGCGAGAGGTGGTGTTAATGATAGATGAAGAGGTGGGTAATTGTGGATAGAGACTTGCAATAATTACCGCATCATCTCAAGGAACAGAAGAAACGACCAGAACATTAAATTAAACAACCATGTCACTGTCAACTACTTTTACCCTCTGGAGATAAGAAAGAAAGAAAAGAGAGGTGGGATGGGAAAAGAGAGGTCAGCTGACATTTTTTGTGCCGCCGTTAGCGAGCACCTATATGCGCGTAATTGCGTCGAATTTGAAGAGTATTTGAAATTCAGTCTAATTCTATTTAGAAAAGTAAATATAGAGAGGAATGTCAATCCGAGTAAAAAATTGTTGAGCAAATGGCTGAAATGAACACTAGTCCAAATAATAAGCTTGTCGATTTAATGGTAGAAACAAGTACTGGTCTGATCTGCCAACAATGCATAAAAACGCAAATTGATTTAGTTCCGACAAGGTAGGACGCAGATACGTCAGACACGTTAAGTGGGGACAGCTGTGGATCTACTCCGAGCAGTTTCATTGGCTCAAAGATTTCCAATTTAGACTTTCAATCGCGGGATAATGCAGTGCATTTGACAGCTCAGGCAGCAGTGAACATGAAAAAGACATTTCGAGGAATCTTCTTTGCAAAGAAGAATGTCGCTATTAAGCAAAAGATTTGGCGTGAGCACTTGACGTCAGTGGGATTGGCTATCAATGCTGGTCAGATCAAAATTTAAAAGAGAAAAAGGATTTATTGAGGCATTGTGGTCGTTATTTTCCTTATTGTAGCAACTTGCTTTTGCTCGCGAACTCTTACCGTTTTGGGCACATTTGGTTTTATTTTGCTTTATTTCTGTGTACATCTCAGTCTGTTGTTGTCTTCTTTGTTTTTTATCTTTAATGTAGCTTTAGGAGTAAAGTTTAGATAAAAGTAAGCCACCTGTGTAGGGTAGACCAAGTATTACTTGGGAATATCTTTTTTTACAGAAAATAGGGAGTGACTGCTGAACTGCTTGGAAAATTAAACCATATCAAATTTGGAAGAGGATAAGCATATTTAGAGAAGTTTTTTACCAAACTTTTTAAGAGGAAGTAATACAACAATAAGTTGCCGTCAACAACTACCAGTAAGGTAAAGAAGCGATTAATGAGAGGACCTGACCTAGGTTAGCTAATCGGAAAGAGAATGGTGGTGCTTAGGATAACTGCAGCGAGGAAAACGGGCGAAAGGCAACATCTAAAACTTCAAAATTTTGAATATCAATTGTTTCCACTAAGTCGGAGGAGCTTCTGAGATGAAAAAACGAAATGAAAAATATGATTACACATTAAGGGGCATGTAAGGTGCAGGCGGCTAAGGATATTAGAAGGACTTGAGTTACTTTGACGATTTTCAAAGTAAAGGGAGCTGTGGAATAAAAAGGTTTTAGAACGAAGCGGAAAAGGAGTCCGAACTTAATCTAGTTTTCTCTGGCAGCTTGGCAACGCTTATGGGGTTCCCAAAAAACTTCCTCGACTGCATCCGATGTTGAGAATTAAGTGACTAGAATTAAAATGCATGACTTTAATAGTTTCACTGATTATGACCTATTCAGAACCTCAGTAATGTCGGCTAAGCAGCTAAATTTTTTTAGTTACCCTCCCAGTTGTCAAATCAGTTCAAGATTGACCTACAGTAGAAATAGGGAAATTTGTCAGAGACTAATGAATGGTATACAATTAACTCTGCCATAAGCGAGCTCTACCAAAGTTCGTGTTTGGTTTTGGCCAGAGTTCTAGATCTGTTCAGGGTACTCAGAATCGAAAATACACTCCTCGTTAAAATAATACAGAGCGAGAAACCTTACAAGTTTACAGAGTGGGTTTTGAAGAGGGGTTGTCAGATCAGCATTAGTCAGCACTTCGCAAGGCAAATTAATTGTTGTATGGATATTCGTTGACAATATGCTGAACACCAAGCCGATCTAATGAATTTTGAAAGACTAAAAGGCCAAAGCATTATTTTAAAAAGTAATAGAACATTTCTGCATCACTTTAATCGTCCGATTTTGTAAACTGAACGGGTCAAGTTTGATTAAGCTTCAAACTGAATCTTGAAAAAATTCCAGTAGGCTTTGATCGGAATGTTTATTAAACGGTAACGTACCAAGTGCCGTTGAGGTGAGCAGCATCGTTTATTACGGCAAAAGAGGAGTACGGAAAGAAAGTATAACACAGGCGCCGGTTCAAACAACAGGTTAAACTGAACTGTTTTGCACCTTGCTGCCTTTAACAAATGCTTTCGCAATTTGGTAGACCTTGACCCTGACGAGTCTGATGACCGTCGCCTGGGGACTGTAAGTGAATATCGAAAAAGAACTTTTTTGGAATCTCGACAAACTAAACATTTAAAATGCTAAATTATTTTTGAAAATCAACCTTTGAACTCAAGTTTTGATGCACCTAATGGGACAGTGATTTATATAAATAAATTTTGAGTCTGACTTATTTACGATCTTTGAAACGCTAGCTGGCAGTTGAAATAGTAAACTGCAGTGACAGTTTACTAAATTTTGTTAGTCAGCTTTTACAAAAAGAGTGTAGTTATTTTCATACTTTCGGGGTTTTTAAAGTATTTTTCATTTTGAATACCTGTTTTTATTTTATTTCAACCCATTCGGCTACATAAAACTGCGTACTTTTTTTCTGTTATTGAAGAATTATCAAACCCCTTGAAGAAACTTTATGACGCCAAAGTATCTTTTTCAATTAAAAGTAAAGTTTCTAAAGAAAAAAGCTAGGCAGAAAGGTCAGGACACTGAACTTAGTGAAAGGAGACTTAAAAAATGCTTTGCAAGAAACTTGCCTGATCAACTGACTTAAATAAAGACGTCCCAAAAGGTGAAAGAGAATTACGTAATCATCTTTTAAAAGGAAATGTTCAAATGCTGGTTCAAGTGTTGATAATTGAACAATTTGAAGCATTGTCTGATCAGCTGTTCTACAATTTATGGTTAATTCCGAGTTGATTCTAAAACAGTATTGGTTCTGTGGTGCAATGACGTTTCATAAGATTACCAACTTTTACTTTATTTGCAACCAGTAAGTAAAAATTATGGAAGCTTTTTCTTTGCGGGGAGGGAGGAGGGGGAAGCAAAAACATTTACTTTTTCTTCACGAACTATGCGTTTGTAAGCTGATATAGCGACGAACAATCGTCATTTTTGATTCCACACTTGAAAGATTTCAAGCTTAGGCGAAATCACTTTGCAAAAGACTGCTGCGAAAAAAACTAAACTCCATTTATCAGTGGAAGTGCAACAGGACATTTCAAGAAAAAAGCAATTTAACCGGGGCCCTTCATATCGAAATACGTTTCCGCTTTTTTCTTCAAACACTACAAATTAAAGGATTACTCTTTTTCATTTAAATTTCGTTTACCTAATCAAATTAAACTGATGTATTGATATAACGAAGAGAAAGAAAATTATTTTGCAGTTCAGTATGCAAATTTCTGCCGTTTATGGTAATTATTTGACGAAGTCTTCCCGTCAGTCGCACTCTTTTGTGCTGAGCAGATGCAGCTTGAGCACTTCAAAAAGGCACCAATATGAACTTCTAAATGACGCAACGGGGCAGTAGTAGCAAGTCTGGTTATGCCTTACCGCTTTATCAATGATAGTGAACCGCAAGTTTTTTTTAATACAGTTTAGATTCCTTAACCTTAAAAACTATTTTTTTTTACCTACGTTGATCTAGAAGTGTTAAAAATGTTGGTTCTTCTTGATAAATTCTAATGAGCGCAAAACTTCAACCGTCCTCCCGATTAGGAGGAGCCAGTACTTTCCGAAAAAGAAATGGACACGGACTGTCATGCACTTTCTAGTCGACTTCTTACTTCAACATTCTTTCCATCCTTTATTCGCAAATCAAGCGTAAGTAATTGTGCGTGTAAGGGATTTTAACGTTGATTAGGGTTTGTTATGTGATTAAAAATTTGTCGCTTCATAATTTTTAGTATTTGTAAGTTTAAGCAAAGAGTAAATCAGAATCTTCAAAACATTTTAAGAAGATTACTATAGGAAGTTGCAGTTTGTTCTAGAACAGTGTTATCTTTTGCCTCTATCATTGCACCAGTACCAGTTTTAATTAATAACTTGTTTGAAAAGAAGAAACTGATTATTTTGGAAGTATGACTTTTTCCAGACATTTCAATGTCGACTGAAAGGCAGCGGAAACATCAAATTAGGTCAATAAAAGCAAAACTTCCAGAGACGAATTCACCGGAGTTCTCAGGACTTGCATAGGCTTGTTAGTTTGCGGTAATGTTTGCTTGTATTTTACAACATTAACCGCAACGCTTTGGTTTTGTAAACTGTTTTTTATTTCTCGCTTTATTCAAACACTTTTCATTCATGACTTTGCTCCACACCTTCTGAAAAAAGTTTATTGGTCGAAAAGTGTACACGATATACTTTTCCGTTCTAAAACAAAAAATTTTGGTTGTTTGTGTTCTTTCAGCTACTGTTCAGTCACAGTTCCCAAGTGCAGTGAGCGATTACTGGATGATGAATTAACAGCCAGAAATCGGGATTCTTGTGCGGAGAATATACGAAGGGAAGCTGAAGCTGTTTTTGATTACCAACAAGCAAAAGCAGCCAATTTCTTTTTTTACCGCGAGTTAAAGGAAAACTGTTAACGTTTTGAAATAAGTTTTTATCTTTGAAGCCTTATTTTCTCTCCGGTCAATGGGGTTTCAGAGGAAATGGTAAAGGCTGCTGTTAAATGCCTTAGAATTACAGAAAGGCATAGAGGGAATTTAGAAAGATGAAGGAAATTTACGTTTAGGATATAATTGGGAGTTGTGTTCTGGAGTGTTATACTGTCCTTATATTAACTGCATAATTATGCTTTGAGCAAGCCTCTTATGTTTATTAACAACAGATGTTACTAGTAATATGAAGCGGAATTGTGTGTATAACACGACTTTATCCCGCTGATCAATCCAGTTTGTAGTTTTTGTCTTTCTTCAATTTACTTAACACTTTCAACGAGGAATTATGGTAATAAACTGCTATTTTACTAGTGCCGTGTATCCGCTTAGAACCAACTGTGGAAGTCAGCACTAAACGTTGTGACCTAATCTCCAGTATTCTGCTCTGCTGATTAACTTCAACCGTTTCCACAAACTACAACTAGATGATATCCACCAATACAATAAACGAAAGTTTCTCCTTGTTACCTCAATTTTTTTGAAGCTAATTTTGGTGAAATTTGATCACAAAGAGCTGGAAAGTGAAAAAAAGCAGATCACCTGACAACCTGACACTTTAAGTGAAATATAGTTTCAACACAGCAACTGTCGTTGGTTAAAGACGACTTTTTCCAGCATTAGTAAGGGTCGATGAAAATGATTGACAAGCATTCCGCAATTTACGCTAGCAATTGAGCAGTACCAGTAAGCAATCGGACTTGCAAAAAAAACGACTTTTTTACCACAAATTTTGTAGTACACAAATTTTAAGTTACCAGAAACTGTAGCAAATTGTTTGATTCTTGGACCGTACGATAAGATGATTATGCATATACTATTTTTCAGAGCTTTAGCTTAATGTTGACTTTAAACATATTTATTATTTCAGTAAGTTTTAAACGGTGAAAGTGTGTTTGAAATGGAAAAATAACCTTTTCTTGATGAAGCAAAAAATTGGTAAAATTCATTCTTTGTTTCTTTTTTGGCTTTCTTTTAAAACCAAGC